TCAATGGACGTGGGTTTGGGTAAACTCCGGGAGTTGGTGATGGACAGGGAGGCCTTGTGTGCTGCGATTCATGGGGTCGCAAAGAGTCGGACACGACTGAGCGACTGAACTGATAATAATCCATTAACCTGATACCATAATCCATAACCTATTATCATCTTGGAAATAACAAGTAGTACAAAAAAAAGAAAAAGAATATCCTGATATCCTGTGACTCTTACAGTTCATATTATCTTTCTTTCTTGATGCCTGAAGTCCAAAGTAAATTTTCATTTAAGAATCGTGGAACCAATTTGTCAACTATACATTTTACAGGTTTTTTTAATTTGTTTGTTCCATTCTGATATAGATAAATCCAAATATGAATATATCTAACTAAAAGATCTCTTAAAAGTATAGATGATGATAATTTTTTCTGGTAACAATACCTGACTATGTGATAAAATTACCCATGAAACAAAACAGAAAGAATATTAAAAAGCTGCTATATTTTTTTCTTCTAAGTTTTAGGCCCAAAAGTATTTTCTATTAACATGCTTTTATTGCTCAGACATTTTCAGTGTGACAGTTTTCTGCCGTAAGAAAATTTGTAAAATTTACATTTTATTTTTTCAGCAGTATTTCAAAAAAACAACAGAAACATTTACCAATTTTTTACTGTAGATACCTTTGAACTTTGCTTGTTAGGGTAAATTTCAATTTGACCTTAAGCAAGGATGATTGTATTTTTTACCACTGACCTGTTGATTCTGTAATTTAAAAAAAATAGAGACCATTGAAAATACAATTTCCATTTAAAAATTTCTTAAGTGTAATTGACCAATGGAGAGGACTCCCCAGCTATTACTGTCATTTCAACTTTGGTAAACTATCTTACTTGCCTTTAATGGTTTCAGCAATTTCCTACCCTTTACTGACAGGCAGACATTAGTTAAAGAGATTATGTCGACTGGCAGTTTGCACTGAGAGAAAACAGTCCTAAATCACTTTGAATCTTTCAGAGAATTTCTGAAGGTCAAGGTCGAAATCACTGGCAAGAAAGTACGTGAACTAAATGATTTGGCCCCTGCCTGGGCTAGACTTTTTCTGATCTTACAGAGTTGGAGTGGAAGTGAGCTAAAATACAGGCGCTTTATTTAAAACACACTCACACCCCACCACTGCACCACCAGGGTTGCAGTAGTCTAGACATTCTTTGCTGGACCATCTCAGGGCATAATTTCCCTGAGTAGCTGAGGGTAAGATGTGATCATGGAAGGGACGAGGGGAAGTATAGGCTTTTTATGAGTGCCTGCCCCATTCAGGAGCCCAGAGTTCATGTCTTTGATACTGGTAGCATCAACCAGACAAGCAAGACTGGCCAAATTCCTCAGTGAGGTCAACAGTACCTCCGTTTCCTCTTGAAAGGCTATCTGAGTCCTAGGCCTTGTTGGCATTGAGATATGCTCCAGGGGGCTGGTGGATCCTGGAATTCAGGTCTTCTGTTATTTTGAGTTCTTTCCTCTCTAAATATATGAATAGTATTTTAAGCATAATATATTTGTCCTTTTTCTAGCTGTTGCCTTCTGGAAAAGTACATCTTTGCATAATCATAAGAAAAACAATCCTGGCTTACTTGGCCCAAAACACATTATTGAGTAACTGGGGGACTAACAATTATTGGCAGGGAGAGCCACCCAGGAGCACAGTCTCTGGGGGCCCCTGGACACGGATCTATATCTCCTCCTCCAGCCTTTTGGTTTATTCAAGTTCCTCAGTCCTATAGGGACCATTATATGGGGATGACGGAGGGAAATAGCACAATTTTTGCATAAAATTCTTCCACGGTCTAACTTCTGGAAGTAAGATATCTTCCTGTCTCTTCTTTGAAATACCTCCTTCTTTTGTTGCAGAAGCTTGAACTTCCTTCAATGGGGGCAGAGATATCTTTTTTCCTTTCTTTCTCTCGCTCTCTTTTTTTTTTTTTTTTTTTTAATGAATAGGAGGTAGGGACTGAAGTCCAGTGAATTCCAGTCTCCAAAGGAAGGATGCACAGAACTCTAGCTCCCCAGGGTGTCTCATATCAGAGCTCCCTGCAGGGTTCGTCACCACTGCTTTGCTGACCTCCAGTTACTTGGGTGGCTCCCATGTAGCATGTTAGTTTTAGGGCAGGCTCGAAGGACTGCTTCTGTCCCTCTTGCCTTAAAATCTAATAGACTGTTCAGTCCATAGTAGGCATGCAGAACGTGAATAATGAAGGAAGGACACATCTGAATATTGGGGGGTCTCAAAAGAGAGAAAAAAATACTAAAAATGGTAAATTCAAATCTGAAATAATCTCCTTAGAATTTTGTTTTCCTAGAAGAACTTCTTTCCAAATTAACCATATCCCACCCAGCTCCCACCCATCTCCCATCCATTTTGCTGTATTTTTTTTTTTCATGGAAATATGAGAGTAGTAAGACTGAGATATATAAAGACTAACTGATGTTCTATATATTCACTTAAGAGTAAGTCTGAAGTAGGCAGTTTTAAGGCCAGCCATGATGTTAAGTGAAGTGTGTTGTGAATTTTTGATTTCCTTTTCTAGGCCTATGATAGTTAGCATTGAATTCTTCATTTGTCTAAAACTTGTTTGTCATATCCTGAACCGTGATGATCACTGGTTGATATGAGAGGAGAAACAAACATTATTTTAAAGACATCGGGTTTCAAAGGATTTCTTTTTTAAATAGTGGGATTGCATGCCAAAATTTCAAAATTGAAATTATTTTCACAAAAGAAAGGAATTGCTCGAAATAATGCTTTTGGACATTTTTCTGGATCCTTTACGGCATGTAAATGATGAATAAAATTTTAATTTAACTTTCTGGTTTGGCCCTTTTGGCATTTAATGATACCAAAACAACCTCTAAATCACAGACTAAGACTGGAACATTAAAATACATACTGAGTAGATTTTATATACATTCTGAAAATGTTACATGCTCTAAAAGTCTGAGATTTTTTAAAAAAAAATTAGATAAAACAGATGTGTAATATGAGAACACTGTACGGTAAGTAAAATTNATCTGCAGTGATTTGGAGGCCAAGAAAATAAAGTCTGTCACTATTTCCATTGTTTCCCCATCTATTTGCCATGAAGTGATGGGACCGAATGCCATAGTCTTAGTTTTTTGAATGTTGAGTTTCTTAAAAAGATTCAAATATGGTAATTTGTAGACTACAAAGCATGATTATACTTTAACCCAAGTACCTATATCCAGTCAAATTGGCTTATTATAACTATCCTTTTAGAACATGTGACCTTAACAAAAAGAAAAAAAAAAAATCCCAACAGATCTTTTAAAACCATAATGGATTTTTTTTTTTTTTTCAAGAAAATTCCTATACTTAATGGTTAGGCTAAAAGAGACTCTTGTCATATGTTCACTGTTTTCATTCCTGAGTGGGGCATGCCATCCAGTTGTGATAAGACCTTTACTTTGTATCACTGCTTGGGCAGATGGGCCTCATTGTCCTGTCCTCCTGCTGTTTGATTGTGGTGGGGATCTCCTCCCCATGGGTGCCCAATGGGTCCTCAGTCACAGTGTATTTGGATTCTCCTAGTCGGATACACAAAGCCTCACTCATCAGGATTGTGAGGACAGACTAGAAGAGCCCCAGTCAGTCCCAACTAGCTGAGTCTCCCGCTCTCCTGGCCCTGGTTCCCCTCTCGTCTGCTCTCGTCTGCAGCTGCTGCCTGCCCACCCCCAGCCCACATGGTTTCCCTCCCAAACACTCCCCTGTCTTTAGTCCCCACTTTTGGCTCTCACTGTAAGGCCTATAGGGCCTGGGCCACTTGCTTCTAGAATAAAATGTTCATAAATTACATTTGTTGCAGCTGTGATATGCTTTAAATATTTTAACTATTATAAAACAATTATCCCTTTCCACCACAGTCATTCAACTCTTTAAAAAAAACAAAGCGTTAACACTCCTAGGAACTCCTCTCACCCAGTCTTCTGTCAGGCCATATTTGATCCCAGAAACGGTTTTTAGAGACCTGACTTTGGGGAATGGTGCCTCCCACACGGCCGGGCTCAGCCCTTAGAGAAGCACTTGATTCTGCTGCAGCCAGGGCAGCTAGTGTTTAACGGCTTCATGGCCTCACAGACCTAATATTTGCATTCAGGTGAGCTGTGTTTAATATGTAAACTCTGCGAAATGTTGGGAGTTCAGGGGTAAAAGTCGGGAGGAAGAAGCAAAAATGCTCAAGTGGTTTTAAAAGCATGACTCAGTGTAATTCTTTGTGTGTGTGTCTGTCTGTGTGCTCTTCAGGGAAGACTTCCTGTCCCCAAGGAAGTGAACCGCAAGAAGGCTGGCGAGATGGGGGCTGCCTCCCTGACTCCACTTGGCAGCAGTGAACTCCACTCCCCAGGAACCAGTTACCTCCACTCTTTTTAATCACCTCCATTTGTATTACATATGGTGTATGGGTATTGATGAGGTCATGGTATCATATATGGGATTTTTTTCTGTGTAAATCATCAAGTATAAGAAGAAACTATGGGACTCTGAGCCTTGCTTTAGAGATTTTACAGTGGACAAATAGGTATCATCAAACCAGTTTTTAATCATTCTGACTCAAGTGAAAACGCTCAGAATTTCACACTGTGAATCCACGTTTACATCCCTTACAGGTGGGCCTTCAGGCCTGGTTTGCTACGACAATGTCTTCCACAACTCAAACGCCCTCTGCTCTCACACAACCGGTCCACTTCTGCCTTTTCACTCACACAGCTCCTGACTGCTTCTTGCAGAGGCTGAGAGTCCCCTTTTTTTTTTTTTTCATTTAGATGTAACAAGCCTAGTAGTTTATGTTCATCAATTGTCTGTATATCTCTATATTTTACCCATGTACTCTTTTGATGTATAGAAGTAGTTTGAAACTCATTGTTTCCTTGTGGTAAGTGACCGAGATGCTGCCACAGGACCTGAGACACTGATGAATGGTGCTATTTTGGACTTTCAACATGCTCCTTGGCGAGGTAGCTCTGATGGAGTTATTTTTTATTTTCATGTTCTAAGAAGGTGTTGGTACTCTGTCTCCCTGAATGTCGTTCTCTAGACTGGATTGACCTGTTCTCCTCGTGTCTTCAGTGTGGCTTTCTTCGTCAGCGTTGGAGGTTGAGCGGGCGCCCCCGCGGAGCAGGAGACCCCGGCTCACGGGCTGGCACTCCCGGACGCGCAGTCACTGTAGCGGGAGCAATCACAAAACTGTAATTTCCTTACCAAATCTCTTCCTTTCCGTAGCCTCGCCTGCCTAACTTAGTGAACGAAAAGCAATAATTTGACAGGCGTCTTTAGGTGTCTCTTTTGGTTCTTTCATTTGAAAGAATATTCAGGGGGAAAGGGGCAAACTTTTTTTTTTTCCTTTTTATAAATGCCCTCTGGAGGGGGGGGGAAATCCCCCAAATTAGCATCTCAGTAGGAACATGAAAGTTACACCTTTCCCAAAAATTAGGTTGAAGAAAATGTCTTTACCAAAAAAAAAATAAAATCTTTTTTTAAAAGGCAGAGCACTCTTTTTCAACAGTCCTGATAAGCAAGGTGTAGATTTTACATTTTTGTCCTTGCTCCCAATGAAATGGATAAACAAAAATACAATCAGACAATACCATCTACTCACGGAATGTTGTTGTGTTAGCCAGTCTGAAAGCCCACCTTGATTTTTATATAACTGTCTTTTAGCTCTTCCTTTGACAGGGCAGGCTTCGTTCTGAACTGTTCCGCTTCTGACTGTTACACATCGACTGACGCATGCGCTGCACTTCTTCCTTCTCTTCTCGCTCGCTCCCCGTTGGCCTGAGTTTCCTGTGCATTTCCCCCCTACCTCCTTTGTTAGAGTAGGTATATCCGCTGTGTAAATAGAGCAAGAAACAGTATTCTGCATCTGTGGCATTTACGTAGAGTTGCAGTTGTGTACTGCTGAATATGCAGGCTTTTGTAACAATGTGATCTTTACTGATGCACTCACGACAAGTACCCAATGTATTTTAGCTATTTTAGTAGTATTTGTTCAATAAATATGCAAGCTGTATGGTAACTGGTTTGACTCATCATTGGAAAGGCCTTTTGAATACTTTCACTGTCTCATGTTAATTCATGTGCTCTCAGAGACCCAAAAGTAGATCCAAGGGCAAATATCAAAAGAGATAGAATCAGCTCTGCCTTTCATGCATTTTGCCTTCTGAGGGTTTTATGAGATGAGGGCCTAGGCAACGGCTCATTAGGATGGTATTTGTAGAGCTGCCTATGGATACAAAGGAGAATTAAACCAAGACCCTTTTATTTCTGCACTTGTGTTTTGCTCTTTCAGTGCACTCCCTCACACCTCAAAACATTCTTTTTTGCCCTTGCCATAAAGACTTACTCTGTGGGGTTTTTAACCCATACCAAAAGATACCTAACCTTGCTTCTTCATGGAATATTTGCATATACTCACAAAAGTGTATAAACGTATAAGAAAAATCTTATAAGTGGGTAGAATTTTGAGATAGAATTTTAAGTCTTGAATTCACATGTACCCAGCTACCTGTAATCTAGCAAATGATAAGATAAGCATCACCAGAACCTTCTGGAGGTTACCTGGGATGCTGAAACCCAAGAATTCAGGGAATTTATTCTCTCCCTGTGTATGAGAAATGCCAGCTGGTCCTTTCTCATCTATTATCAATGAAACTTCAGTTGGATTTACAGATTAATACAAGTTGTTAAATTGACTGGTAGTAAACTCTACTACCTAGCTATTTGGGTTTCACCAGAACGGGCTAAGAAGCAGATGTCTAAGAGCCAGAGAGAGACCGGAGAGGAGCCAAAGATAGCATTGTCCCAAGCTGGGAGTTCAGGCTTTGGAGAAAGGGGATCAGATGCTGTCTGGGGAATCTTGGTTCTTGACACCTCTGTTTGTGTCAGGAGGGACTTTTAAATTGGGGAGTTGCTTTTGAAATTAATGCATATCTCAGAGTTTGGTCAAGATTCTTATTGTATCTTAATGTTTAATCTTATTAAGAGAAAGGAGCTTTAGGGCAGAATTGCCTACCAGATTATTGGAATCTTCTCAACTTGGAAGAAAATTGTTAAATGGGGCTACACTGTTTTGGTAATCCCACCCGAGGTAAGTACTTCTAAATGTAAGAGAAGTGCTCTTCAAATACAATTACCTTTCATCTTCTAATGTTACTATTTTCCTCACTCAGGAGGCTCCCATCACTTATATGTGTTATCACAGCTGTGAGGCGTTACATCTTGCCTCCTTGCTCTTGTTAAACTCAAAACAGAAAACATGATGAGGCCAGGCCAGGGGGATGGTAGTCTGGGTTGCTTTATGCCCCTCTATATTCATCTTTTGCCACATAACAACCACACTTGACACCTTGGAACAACAGAAGTTTATCGTCTCCTGGATTCCGTTGGTCAGGGGTCAGGAGCAGCTGACCTAGCGGTTATGGCACAGCATTTCTTCTGGGTTTACAGTCAAGAGGTCAGCAGGCTGCAATTATCTGAAGGCTTAACCAGGGCTGGAGAATCAGCTCCCAGTGTGGCTTGCTCACATGGTTGTTGGCAGGAGAATTCAGTTCTCCCACACATGGGCTTCTCCACAGGGCCACTCAAGTGTGCTCATGACCTCTGGCTTTCCCCACAGTGAGTAATTTAAGAGGGAGCTGGGAGCAAGCCATAATGCCTGTGACCTGTTCTCAGAAGTCACCATCATCCATCATACTCTATTCATTAGAAGTAAGTCACTAAGTATAGCTCACAGTCATGGAGAGGGAATTAAGCTCTACCTCCTAAAGGGAGGAGTATCAAAATATTTGTGGACACATTTGAAAACCAGCGCACCATCTGAAGTTAAAGCCTCAGGGTAACTGTAGGCCGGGGGCTGAAAGTGAGAATGGCTGATAGTAGACTCATAGTTGTTTCTTTGAAAAAGTTTTGCAATCCTTGGAGCTCCAGAGACTGAAGGCAGAAGAGGAGCGCATCCAGGAGCTATAATACTGTTTCTTAACCCAAGTGCTATTGACTCTGAAAGGAATATTTAGAAAATGTTATCGGAAGCTATCAAAACAGGGACGCTAGAATAAATGATGTTTAAAGTTCCATCCAACTCAATGGCTTGGGTTTGATGATGACTACTCCCTTGTTCCCTATGAAGCTTGAAACACTAGATAATTAATTATGCATTTCAACGTAAATTTGCAGGATCCATGTTGTGAAGATCAGCTACAACTTGTTCAGGGTTATTAAAGCTATGGTTTTTCCAGTAGTCATGTATGGATGAGAGAGTTGGACTATGAAGAAAGCTGAATGCCAAAGAATTGACGCTTTTGAACTGTGGTGTTGGAGAAGACTCTTGAGAGTCCCTTGGACTGCAAGGAGATCCAACCAGTCCATCCTAAAGGAAATCAGTCCTGGGTGTTCATTGGAAGGACTGATGCTGAAGCTGAAACTCCAATACTTTGGCCACCTGATGCGAAGAACTGACTCATTGAAAGAGATCCCGATGCTGGGAAAGATTGAAGGCAGGAGAAGTAGGGGCCAACAGAGGATGAGATGGTTGGATGGTATCACCAACTTGATGCACATGAATTTCAGTAAGCTCCAAGAGTTGGTGATGGACGGGGAAGTCTGGCGGGCTGCAGTCCATGGGGTCCCAAAGAGTCGGATGTGACTGAGTGACTGGACTGAACTGAATAAGCTGCTGATGTGGAGCTGAGAAACTGGAGCACTAGCCAGAGTCAGAGCAGGAGACCCAAACTCTGATTAAAGACTGTGCTTTGTTCTCTCTCTAGAGGTAAAAATATTACCCTGTGGACTTTGGGCAGAGACTGCTAACCAAAAACCATGGACTAGATAGGACCTGCAGACTTGTTTTGCCTGCAAAATGTGCTTTATAAAAATGTTGATTTAATTTCCACCATTTACAAGTTGGAAGATTTCACATGAAAATGTAGGTTTGGGGCGTCCCTTGAAAAATGAGAGCTGAGTAGCAGCCTCCGTCTCTGATGAGGCGTGGCCCCTCACACATCCAGTCCTCATCCTGCTCATCTCGTACTGTCTGCTTTGTTTACTTACCTCCCCTGCCTCACTCTGTTGGCACTTGAGTTTGCAACAGGAATCTTCTAATTTCAGAGATGCACCCACAAATGGTCAGAGGACCCTCTAAGATCTTTGTTTGATGGTTGTGAAGGCCAGACTGGAAACAGACAGGGCTGCTGCAGTTCCCTTTGCAGCTCCAGGCCCTCTTCTCAACTTCTGAATTACCCTCCCCCAGTGACTGAGAGTCCCAGGCTAGAACACCTTGGACTGGGTCAGGTTAGACTACTATAGGTCTGAAAAATGCATGGTCTTCAAACCAGGGTATGTGTACCTCAGGCCATGTGAAGTCTTCCCCAGGAGTCTATGCTCATAGGTAGTTTTAAGGAAACTCGTTTCTAGATCCTCTATGCATACTGGACTCTTTCCTAAGATTGTTCTGCTGAGAATGAGCCTATGTTTATAATAGTCCTCTCCACATTATTTTAAAAAAGGTAGGTCTCACACATCCCAATTCTTAATATAATATGTTGTCCTTAATATGACACAAAAACTGCAGATGTGGCAAAGAGGAAGGCTGCTTTAATGATTAATCATAAATTCATTATGCTTTGGGCTTTCCCTTCTTATACACACATTCAAAGTGATAGATTAGAAAACATAGAAATGAGGTGTTTGGATTCATGGGATTTCAGAATTCAGATAATATTGGTAAAATGCAGTGATGGAAATAATGACAATTTTTATTTAATGCTTTCTCCTCCTGACTCTTGTCAAAAAATGCCTTGCCGTTAAGAGAGAGTCCTAAGAGGGGGAAGCAAAGGGAAAATCAGTAGGAAACACTGAATACCCAAAATGGCTTGTTCATGTGATTTTAAGCATTTTTTTCCCCATTGGTCTCCATACTCATCCCTAGGATATTTCTTAACCTGGGAAGAAAGTAGCCTAGAACAGCTACAGCAGTATAAGTTTGCATTGCTGATTATTTTAAATGTAATCAGGATGCCTTTTGAAAATACTCAATTTTTACAAGATAAAATGGGTAAAATTCAAGGATTAAAAAATTTTCATGTGGTCTCTTTCAGACTTGATGTGCATTAGTTAATAAAACTGTCAAAACCTGTGGTATCAAACCATAGCATAAAATACTTGTTTCAATTATATATATATATAAATGTATATATATATATATATATAATTTGTTTCAATTATAGTCAATTCTCATCATATCCTATCCTATCTTATAAAATGTTTAATATGTTTTTCATAACATCATCAAAAATATTAGTGTGCTGCTAGACTTATTAGAAGCCTAAAACCCTTCTATTTGTGGTGCTTCTCATTTTTTCACCAGTTCTTATTTATCCTCCAAAGTCAATCAGTAGCATTCAATAGCCTCATTCAGTTTTACTAGACACATGTCATGCCTTTCATCATTCTTCTTACTTGATTGAAGAAAGTGTATGGATAATTTTATTTTTATAACTTATTTAAACATGGAATAATTAATTATATTAGGTTCATATAATTTTAATTATGATTGGTTTCAGTGGTCAGTTTCACAATATAGACTTAATTCTCATTCATTTTTTATAATAATCCTCGAAATAACTATCTGAATTGAAAAGTGAATTCAAGGTTTTTTCTACAGAGAGTGTATCTGATTTGACTAATAAGGTTTGACAGTGAAGACTAGCTCTGCCAAAGATGTTTGTGATGGACAAGTTCTGTTAATGGGCTAAATCTGCAACTCTAAGGTAATGATAATATGGTTAAGGCAAGAAATATCATAAAAATATTTGATCAAAAAGCATTGTTTTGACAAAAGTGTAATGAAATTAATATCTATCTATTATTCCTTTCATTTCTGAAGACATGGGATTTTAAAAGGTGGGTTTAGGTGAAAGTGTTACAACATAATTAGAAATCATTTGATAAATCTTTGCAAAGATCTTTCTTCCCAGAAACTGAGCAAGTGAATTAGATTTTAATGACGAGGACAAATCCCTT